TACTTATATATATTTAAAAAAAAAAACTCTGTAAACATCCTAAGGAAACTTAACTCAGCTTTTATTTAAACACCAATTTTCATTATAAGTCCTCATCATTCGATTTATGTCCAGACTTTTACTGGAGCATTCTATTATAGATAGGATTTAAAACTATTTCTTTATCGCTCTGCCAGCATGTTTCAAGTTATTTACCTCAGAGGCGGGTAGTAAGTAGTAACATTTACTATTTTACTTGAGTTACTTTTTGAAGAAAAAAAAAGCACTTTTGGAAGGAGTTTTACAGCATTTAACTTTTTACTTAAATAAAAATATGATAAGTATCACTACTCTTAATTGAGTAAAACTCCTGGCCACTCCATCCATTGTGGTTAAACTGATATGGACCATTGGGAGACACACTTTCTTTATTATTGTACTCTAGGCTTATTGGCTTAATGTTATTTTCCATCTGCCGAGTCACTTGGAGGTTAAGTGAAAATACAGTAAACAGTATACTGTAATTGACTCTATTCTAGATACTGGAATTATTGATTTCTTTAGCAAAAAAAAATGTATTGTGAAGAGTGTTAAATCTACCAAATTTTTAATTGTTTAATTTCTGTTTGCTGTATGTTTATTTTCATCTTATTCTTTGAAAATCCTGAATTTGCATATCACTAACTATTTTGTTCATATTTGACATTATCCATCCATTTTCTGTCACGCTTAATCCCAAACGGGGTTGCGAGGGGTGCTGGTGCCAATCTCCAGCTGTCTACGGGCGAGAAGCGGGGTACACCCTGGACAGGTCTCCAGTCCATTGCAGGGCAACACAGAGACACACAGAACAAACAACCATTTACACTCACACCTATGGAGAATTTAGAGAAGCCAATTAACCTAACAGTCATGTTTTTGGACTGTGGGAGGCAGCCAGAGTACCTGGAGAGAACCTACGCATGCTCAGAGAGAACATGCAAACTTCATGCAGAAAGACCCCGGGTCGGGATACGAACCAGGACCCTTCTTTCTGCAAGGCAGCCCCAATTTTACATTATCGTATATATATTAAATCAGATGTTTTGATCAGTAAGTAAATCAGCTATTCACTACTTTAGCCTTTTAACTTCATACAATTTTACTCTAACTTGACTGATTTTTTTTAAAGGCTACTTTTTACTTTTACTAAAATAAAAATATAATAGTGCTACTCTTATTTAAGTACAGTTCTTGGCTACCTCTGATTGTCTTACGAATAGGAGAACCTCCACCCACTCCCTGGTTTAGGTTCCTCTGTTTAAACATTAACCCCTAAGAGCCTCTGTTTACCCAGAGTATATTACTGTCACTACAGCCCCTGCAATCTTTACCTATTTTTTTACTTATTTTTTTACTTTACTTTTATTTCATAAAGGGAATTATAATTATATCATGCAAACTAGTAGATCTCAATTCTTTATGGTTTCTCTTTGTGCCACCCTCCTTCCCTCCTAAAACAAAACAAAAACAAGCATGCAATTAAACAAAACACATAAGTAGGAAAAAAAAAGAGAAGTACATGTATAATCCATGTACACTCCTGTATTCACACATATAACTTCAGAGTAAGAGTCATGGTTAAATGCAACAGGCAGTGAATTCCACATTCAATATGAAATTTCAGACACTCTCCAATCCATAAAGTAAGGGCAGCCAGAGCTTGTTAAAACAATAACCATGGTTATATTTCTCCTAGGTTAGCTTTTTTCAGAGGTAAAAAGGAAGCCAATTGCTCCAAGAAAAAATATAAAGTTGGAGGGGACCCATTCTTCCATCTATACCAGTTCTAATGAATGAACAGCAAATGAGAAGTCTTTTGAAGAACCACATTCAGATTCATGTCTCTAAATGTTGGATCTCTGCAGCTCCTCCAGAGTAACCATGAGCCTCCTGGCTGCTTTTTTGATTAATACTCTCCTTTCTATTAGTTGTCATAGGAAGTTGTGGATTGCTATGTTTGCAGTTGTAGCAATTGAGGATGAACTGAAAAGTCTGTTTTTTTTTCTGTTTTAAAGCCTGGGACATTGTCTTATAATCTCGCTCTGCTTTCAACTCCTTCACAGATCCATACCTGACCTGCATACCCTTCTTCATAATGCTATAATGTTCTAACATTATAGTGCATTTTTTATTTCCTTATCTGCTCTTTTGTTTCACAAATACCTCTTAGTGTTGCTCTGTTGCTCGAAATGAAAATAATAAAGTAATGTAACAAAAATATAAACATTTATAAATACTTTTGTAAAGCTGTGTACATGTACAGGCCAATAGTAAAACAAAGTATAATTATAAGCTAAATGAAAGCCATTGAAATCATATATTGGTCAGAAAAAACAAACATTATATGAACAATAAGAACCACCCTGTTGAGATAAAATGTTTTTAATCCAAAGACCTCCATGTTTTCAGTCTATATTGCAGTTCCCTTTGCAGCAGCTCAGAACATGACAGCTGAAAGCAGTAAAGTATTTCTGGTTTTGTTAGTGGAGCGACTGACAGACTGGAACCAGAGGATGTGACGAGCTGCCCAAAATCCACAGAACAGTAACATTTCTGAGAGCTTATCCAATGCTAAATGTCCTAGAAACTAGCAGGAAATATTACCACTGTCTAAAAAAGCGGAGAGGGAACAGGTCCAAAGAGTAAAAGAGGGCTCTGCTTTGTTCTCCTGGATCTGACTTGATGAGCTAAATTTAGCCAAAAATGAAGATATGAAATAGTCCAGATGGGGAAATATTTGTGCAACATTTTATGCCATAAACTAAAGAGAAAAATCATTGCATTTTAATGTGAATAAGGATTTTTTTTTTTTTTTGGTTTTTGTTTTTTTTACTTTGCATGATTTTAAATATATCTGTTTTAGCAGTTAGTATTGGGTGAGGCCCAGTTTAATTCAGAGGACCAGTTTCTTCAAAGCTTTTCAAAACCAGTTTGTGTAATATTCTCCTGTCTCAACTGATTTTTATATCTCCTTAAAACTGAAAGAGATATCCCTGTTATATCCGGAGGGAACGTCTTCATTACAACATAATCTAATAATTGTTTTTATACCAAGAATAATTTAAGTAAATAAGTGAATAGAAGTTTATTTATATATTATCTTTCACAGACATTAGGGTTACAAAGTGCTTTACAAACACAAAGATTTAAATGATAAAACAGTAAAAAAAAAAACATCATAATATAAAAGTCATTATAAAATAGGGGAGTTGCTAAAAGCTTTGTGAAGGAGAAGTTTTGAGTTTCCTCTTTAAAGCATCCTCAGAATAAAGGGATCGTAATGAGAGCAGGAGATCATCCCAAAGCATTGGTACAATGGCCAACAACCAATAACATAAAATTGAACATTAGAAACTCATAAAATACATCTTTCAAATACTTGATTTTTAAAAAATGTACCCGTTTACAGGCCTGAACAGACCAGTAGTCAAAAGAATGCTGCATTAATGATATCATCGACGGACTTCAAACCATTGACCATGCTATCCTTGGTCACTTTGCACTTTTGTATCAAATTAAATTTTTCTTTCTTTCTTTCTTTCTTTTCTTTCTTTCTTTCTTTCTTTCTTTCTTTCTTTCTTTCTTTCTTTCTTTCTTTCTTTCTTTCTTTATTTATTTATTTATTTATGATACTTCATTTGTGTATGAATGTATCTTGATGTATGATTTCAATTGCCTTGTGTCATTTACTAAGTTGGAGGTCTTGGAAGGGGGTCCGTAACCCCTAGGGGGAGGTATTGCATGGGGATTCCTGAACGTTTTGGCTGATTAGACTTTTTTTTTTAATATATATTCCCCCTTGCAATTTCTTCCACTAATTTCAATGTCTTTAAATACACGTCAACACAAATTCAACACACAGTAGTAAACGGATAAATGGAGGCAGAAGATGTCTTTCAGTCATCAATGCACACATTCAGCGACACACAGAAGCACTTTCAATCTGGGCACCGTATTATTCACAACACCTGTCCCATCAACAAGTAATCAGAATCAGAGATACTTTAATGATCCCAGGGCGAAATTACTTTCGTTACATTACTCCATCTGTAATAGAGTGACTATAGGACCAGTATATATAATTAGGGGGGTCCCTGCTTCATCTCGCCATCAGTTTGGGGGTCCTTGGCCTGGAAAACGTTGAAGACCCCTGTGGTGAGTGAACAGATGTCAATGAAAAAAACGGGATGTTCAGACTAGTTTGGCCTGCAAAGATACATCTGGTACCCAGCGATGCAGTGACTGGACACTTGCTCTTGTCAATATTATTTCTGTTTTCACACAGAACCAAATCTGACAGCAGCATTTCTCTTCCATGTGTTACTGAGGCTGAAATGTAATTATTTAGGATCCGTGCCCTGGTCTTAAAGCGACAGAAAAAAATATATATATGATTAGGTGGATGTCAGGTTTAAAAGATCATATTCTATCATTTATGATTAAAGCTACTAGTCTTCTATCTGATAGTGTTTAGTGATTCATGAAATCAGCTCCAACACTCCTGCTTGTTTTTGCCAAAACTTGTCCCATTCCTTGTTGCTTGTGTCAGAGTGCAATCGTCGGACAAAATGAATTCTTCTCCTGTGCAAACTGTTGTTTTTTCTAACTTTATCTGCATAACTTTCATGTCTTTTTCGTCCCAAACTATAAGTGGAAACAGATTACTCAGCCCTTGAAACCGGGCCCAAACTGAAGCCCGTCTGTTTCTGTTCAGGACATATAAAAAGGGCTGATAAATACCAGGAGCATCACTCCCACCTTGTGCCAAATGAAAATAATACAACATGGAAAATGAAAATAGAAGATTAAAAACAGATTAGCATTCATCAAGTGCAAATTAATGCAGAAATAAATTAGGCACACAAATTAAATAAGTAGTAGAAAGAAAGATTTGCCACACACATTTCTTCAGGCCAGACGTTTGTAACTGTAAACAAGAAACCCTTCTGCCTCTAATTTGAGGTAAGTTTCTCATCATTCCCTCCACAGAGTTTGGCGCTGACTCTGCTGTACCCGAGCCAATGGAAAGCCCTTCAGACTGGATGTTAGAGGCTGCAGTCGACTCATTTTTTCCAACAGCTTCAGGCTCCAGAGGAGCAACACACACACAGACACACACGTCGGCTGTTGTTTCCCTAAAGGTAAGACCTTTTACCAACAATACAGACATTTGAATCTCTAATAGTAATGCTATTATGTTTGTATTTGTCAGAGTTGGAGATGAGGGATGTTTTTTTGTTGTTTAGTTTTTATCAGTTACTTTGCTGTTTTTTTTTTTGTTTTTTTTTCTGGCTACCATAAAGCTACAACGACACGACTATTTTGACACAGCCAGTTGGAAAGGAAATATGAAAACTATTTCAAAAAGGGTTTTTGCGTAGATTGAATACAAGTGTATCAGGAAAAAGTTTTTAGCCAGATTTTTGTTGCTTCTGTGATTTTACAGAATAAGGATTCCAACAAACAAAAGTTTACGAATGAACCTTCTTTTAGAGAGCTGTAATTTGTTAAATGAAGAGATGCAAACTGAGAAGTTTTGGCATGTAGTTTACAGTGTTGTGAAAATCTGAAAACGTTTTGTTTTTTCCCTTGTTGACGCACATACAGGTTTCAGATCATCAACTAAACTTTAATGTGAGTTTAATGCAAAGATAACTTGAGTAGATAAAAAAAAATAAAACTGTTATCTCATGTGAAGTCATGAATAAACTGTTTTAATACAGCTGAGTTCTATCTATCCACCCAGCAGAGTCAATTAATGACTTAAATAGAACCTTTCTGACAGGATGAAGTAGGCTGAGACACCTTAGAAACTCACACATAATGTCACGTAATTTAAGAACAGAGCTGGTCACACACATATTTCTCATTTCTAATCCTTTTGGAGGATCCAGCTGGCTTTGGACTTGTTCAAACACAAGAGACCAAAGCCAGCAGGGAACAGGGTTTCCATGCTCCAGATTCTCAGCTCATGATTTCCAAATTAAATAAAAAAAATATGCTTTTATCTGAAAATAAGAGTTTTGAACCACTTAGAAACATCACAGCTTATATATTATAATACCTCATATTATTTTACCTCAGGTTAGACATTTCTGATGGTCTGTGGTTGAAGAGCAGCTTAAGATAAGGAAAGCCTGTTTTCTGGGTACGTCTTTGGGACGGCTCTTCTCTGCATCAGCTGCAGTACTAAAATCTCTTCACTTTCATTTCCACCACAGTCTCCCAATAATTTCTCCTTGTTCTTCATACATATTTTTTGTAGACACATCTCCTGCTCACATCCTTTGATATGCTTGGAAACAGTAATTTGTGAACAGCTGGCTTCTTTAACTATGAACCTATTCACACACTCTCCTTATAGAGCATGTCAATGTCTGCCTATAGCTTAGGTTATCGGTCATTTCTGAGTAAAAATAATAATTATCTGCCTTATGCGATATTCTAGCATTCTGAAAAACAATTTTTAGAATTTCATTAGCTGGACACCATGATGATTAAACTAGAAAATAACATCCTTGGTGAATTTCAGTCCTCAAATAGAAATACTGAGGTAAATATTCATTTTTTTTCTCATGGAAATGAACCTATATTGTATTCATGTCCCCGTTGCAAATATGTATTCCTTAGAGACAACTTCTTGCCATTAAATTATTATTCAAAAAAAGAAGATGCAAAAAAAATATCAGCTTTTCAGGTTTTTTTAAATACATGAAAGCTCTTGACAAATATTAAAATATCATCCCAGAAATTAAATGTATTTTAATTTTGTTGGTTATTTCAGGCAGTTTGGAGATGCTCTGGAGGATGGTTAGCAGGACCTGGCTCTGCTTCCTCCTGCTGGGTATCTGCTCCCAAACAGAGAATGTCAGATCGGACGTTCCACTTGAACAAGAATCAGGGGAATCTGTGTTTGAGGACTGGGAAGAAGGATCTGGATCTTCTCTGCTGCATCTCTTCAACAACTTCCCTGCTGACAGCTCCTTCATTAAAGAAAGCCCAGTCAATTGCACCCAGCGGTTCTGGTTACCACCATCGTCTCCAGTGTGCTGGGAAAACATAGCAGATCCTGAGGAGTTTGCAAAGTCCCGTCTGCTTGTCCTGCAGAACAGGGCAGCGCTGCAGGCTGTGTCTGACCAGAGCGGGGTGGAGGAAACGAGGATATCCTACAACCAGCAAGCCAGAGAGGAGGTCCAGGGCATCCTGTCAGACCATCAGAAGGTGACGGAGACGGTGCAAACCATGGAGACTGTGTTTTTCTCTCTGCAGGAGAAAAGAAGAGAGGGGAAGGAGCAGAGTTTTCTTTCTAGGTGAGAAACAGGACAACTTTTTCATTCTCATCAAGTCAGGAAAATTTAAGTTGCGATAAAAATGTAGACAAATTAAATTTGTTAAAAACATAAAACAGTTATAAAAACTTTATTTTGATAAACAGCTGTTTTAAAAAAAATCATTTGTACCAGGAATATGAAAAGACACAAATATTTACATTTTTTACAGACAAATCCTTGAAGGCGTAATCTCTTTAGAATTACATTTTTAATTAAACGTCATTAAATACAGGAAAAAAATCCCTAGATGACTCCATATTGTCCTCATGCTTCAGCAACGATATTGATAGCGCTCTACTTTACAGTATTACTTTAGTCCAACACATTTTTTAATAATTCAATTTAATTTTGTAGAAAAATAAGTTTCAAGTACACAACAATATACACACCCAAATAATTCATCTTGAATGAAAAGAATACAAAGAAAAGTAATCTTATATCTGCCCCTTAGTATTTTTAAGTTCTGATTATTTACATCCAGCTTTTCTCAGTTATCTACATTTAATATGATTACATTTTATTGTACTTAAAGCATTATATACCTATTTTAATTCATTTCAGCCCAAAATTTTGGTTTTGAACCTTTATTTTTTCCTTTTTTTCAAACATTTCTTGGATGTTCACCAAAAAAATGTTCGTATTGCTTTATGAAAATCCTGGAGAATTTTCTATCCTACCAAATTGTTGCATTATAAAATCTTATACTTAAAGGTATAGTGGAGGATGTTCTTTTTACGGGTGGATCATCAAAATAAGTGGTCCTCTTAATTGTCAATCATTCTGCGGATATGTTTACGTAAGACCGTCCTACGTGCTCGTCCCCATTTTCACCTACCGGTGGTGAGTCTGACATTGTGGAAAAATTGCAAATCTTCTTTTGGAAAGTAAGCTTGTATGAGTGATGCAAAGAGCAACTTTTAAATAGAGCATGCACGAGGAGAAATGGGCTCATGCATGCTCTCGCAAGCATTTAATAGGTGTTCCCACTTGGGAGCGGGTACAGGGTTGTGCATATGCATTTTTATTTTTTTTTATTGGAGAGGTCGGGTCTTTTCTTTTTTAATTGCAAAAAGCCTCCACTATACCTTTGAGAAAAAGTAGGTTAGAAGGATCGCCGTTTTCTATGGTTAATAGCTTTCAGACTCTATATAGGTTTTGCATGTTGATTCTCACACATCAAAACTATAGGTTTATAGAGTGCTGTGTAGTTAAGATCATTCATATTTATCCTTTTTGATAAAAATCTGTTTTGTATATATATATTAGTTGATTGTGTTAGTTACCCCTTATCCAGTACAGTAAATTCATAGTTTCTCTTCATACAAACTATCCCTGTCTGGTTTTGGCCAATGATGGGTCCTGGTTACTCTGTAATTCTGCTTCATTTGACTACCACCTACTGAAATCTGACCATGAAAGCAGGATGAAGTGTCTTTGTCCCATTACTGAGAGAGCAGAATCAAAAGAATGATATTTCAGTTAGACACTAACACAAAAACAGATTCAGATGCAGATGTTGAGGTTAGTCCTTAATTAGAAATGGGTTTTATGAGGTTTGGATCAGTTGGCTCATTGTGCTTTCCCAAGGAACATCTGAGTCATGGGATGGCATTTACCAAAAAGACAATCTGGTTGAAACGAAGCTCTGGTTCAAATAAACTGTTGTGACTTTAATCATTCTTGAATCTGAGTAGACTTATGATCACAAGAACCTCAAATGTCTGTTTGATTTTTCCCTCCTGACAGCATAAAGGACCGTCTGGCCAACACGAAGGACGCCATACATGGAAAAGAGGTCATGGCAAACAACCTGGAGAGCCAGTTTTCTACTTTAGAGAAAACTCTACTCAATATACACCACCGACTCAGCAAACTTATAGGAAAATGACAACAATGGAAACCTCCTCTGAACGCCTCGGGTATAAGAAGTTGCATGCACAACTAGTTTTGATGTCTACAAAAGAAGAACAGTGAATAAAAGGGGTGATAACATGGACACATGTGGCTGTTACTGGTTATGATTACAAATGATCCATATGGCATTTTACAGGCACATAAAACAGCTTGTTAAACTCTGAAGTCCTTGTGAAGTTTGCGGCAGACTTTGACTTTTCAAGCATCAGGACAGTTTTCCTCTGTCTACAGACAAATTCCAGGACAGCATTTTTAATTCAAACACTAAACAGAATAAGGCATTCAGATCTGGAAACATTTAAAACATTTCCAATCTATTCAATTACAGACTGTGTTGAGATTGAAAGCTTTCCCAGCATGAAGCTCTGTCTAAGATACTATAATCAGTAACAGTAATCTGATGCAAGACACTTAACTTTGATGTTTTGGTCCTTCACATGCGGGACATCTGTCCAAAACATTTATGAAGGGTGTTAATAACCTCCAGTATGTCCAAACCATGCTTCAAGTTGAAGCCTGAGCTTAAATGGTCCACGATGCTTTGCTTTGTTATATTCAGAACCCTTAACCCTTTTTTCTCAGTTTCTCAGAACACAAAATCCAAGCAAGATTCACTATAATTCATTTGGGTTTTATAAGGCAACCCACGTTGAACTGCTACATATTTTGAACTGGGAAGGAAAATAATCAGTTTTTTTTTTTTTTACTTTTTCCTTAAAAAGCAAAAATATAAAAAGTCTGGTGTAGATTTTTATTCAGCCCTCTTTACTCAATGCAATCTACAATTAGAATTTCACAGATTTTATCTCCAGATAAAAGCGGCTGGTCTATCATCTGAGTGTGAAGGCCGTAGAGGTGGGTAGGATAACAGCTTCATTACTATAGCAACACAGAATACTGGTCCTAAATGAAGTTACATTTCACAGTTCCACAGCCACCATATGAGAATTAGCAAACAGGACAATGTTTATCATTGAAGGGGAGAAAAAAGCAATAACATTCACTGTTTACCTTTTGCCACTGGACATTTATGGACATTATGATGGTCGAGCAAGATCAAAATTCGCTTTGCTGTTAATTTGTTAAACATTATTTGGAGGTGGACCTTGAAAGCACCACATTGTGAAACACAGAAATATATATGGCTGCAAAATAAGAGGAACATATGCAATATTAGATACTATCAGTGAATGATCTGATTACAGATTGAACTGCCTGCAACCGGAGGGTTGTCGGGTCAAGCCCCAACTCTGGCTTTCAAGTGTTGTGTCCTTGGGCAAGACACTTCACCTGCATTGCCTACTGATGGTGATCAGAGGGCCCGGTGGTGCTAATGTATGGCAGCCTCGCTGCTGTCAGTGAGTCCCAGGGCAGCTGTGGCTACATTGTAGCTTGCCACCATCAGTGTGTGAGTGTGTGCGTGAACGACTGAATGTAGTGTAACTATATAAGTCAAGGCCATTTCCCACTTGCATATAAATTTAGACTTAAATGCCTGATGTCTTTCTTCAACAGACAGTGGCATATTTCTGCCTCCTTAAACCAAAATTCACTGCAATCTGAGAGCATGGTACTAAAGTAGTTAGCTTAAGCTTTTCAAAGTCCAAGAAATTGTTTGCAACATGCATATTGCATACAGTATGTTTGCGATTATGGTAGACCTATGACTAGAGCAGAAGTTTACCTTCCAGCAGGAGACCGTATACACAGCCAGGAGCACAACTGAATTGTTGGGATCAAAGCTTTGTTGCGCAAGAACGGCCTAGTCAAAGCCCACACTGAAACTGAATTCTGAATTTGTTGCAGGACCTGAAAATGTATGGATGCTCTCCATTCAATCTGAATGAGCTTCAGCTATTTTGCAAAGCAAATAGGGCATTTATTTCAGTCTCATAGGAGAAGCTGGTAGTTACACTCCAAAAGACTGGCAGCTGTAGGCAGAGATGGTTTTACAAGGTTTTCACACAAGGAGAGCAAAATACACACATAGGTTGCATTTTTCTGATTTTATTTAGTTAAAAAAAAAAACCGCTTTACAAACCTCAGGCTATTATTTTTTTCCCTTAAATGTTAAGCACCACCAGGTCTATCAAAACAATGAGCTGGACTGGTTTAAGGTTTTAACAGGACAATATTTCAAAAGGTGTGCTTCAGTCAAAGCAAAACCTGTTGATTTGGAACGGAAACATTCCTTGTCAAACTGAACGGACTCACTCAGTAATGAGTTGTCTAACATCTTGACTCTTTGGGGCAATGTTAAAAACATTTAATTAATGTGTTGTAGGTATTATCAGTTAAATCCTCCTGGGACTATGTGTGGAATTATAAGTCACTCTCAGTAACATTTTTCAGTTTTTGGAGGGATTTATTTATAATTTAAAATTCCTCTAATCACTTTTCTTACAATCTCTACATAAACCAACTCAGTGTGTCGACAGGTACTAATGAAGTCCATATGTCTCCTCTGTGTCTCAAATTCTCTCTTAAAGAGAGCAGTGTGCATCTTAAGTGTCCACATGGAGAGGGAAAAAAAATGAAGAAGTCCTCTCCTTGTCAAAAATCAGCATCTTCGTCTTCCATTTGCTCCAGTGATTTGAGATATTCTCGAGCCAGGATCTTTTTTGGCAAAATATCTGTAAAATTAATAATAATAAAAAAAACAATAATCAAAACAAGACAGAAGAAAACACATACATATACATATATACACATATATATATACATATACATA